ATTTACATTAACATATTCGATATAATTATACAATATACACCTGAAGATAAGTTAACACACCTCGGAAATTTAAAATTGCTTGTGATTGAAAGCTCTGTCATGAGATGATGACTTAATTGAGCTAAAAATAGTAATGTGATAAGTAGCAATTAAATTTATGAGTTTAGTTAATTCTTAACCAAATTATTGAAGCATAAGCAAATGTGTTGTTTTTCACCAAAATGTGTTTATTAGAATAGTGTTGAAGTGTTTACAAAACATTTTCTGATGGAAATGTGTGGTAAATGTTGACGATAACGTAACCTAAAATAACATTGTGTGGTCATTTTTAATAACGTGTGTAACCGCCCGTGCCGGGATGATGGCCTCAATTATTCTCCAAATACTACCAGTCAGGCGTCTAATGCGATTTTGAGGTAAATTTTGCCATTCTTGGTGCAGACCTTGTTCCAGTTGTTGCAGGTTGACTACAGGTGGTTCGTATCATTGCCCAAATATAATTTAAAATACATTTGTAGTCATGTCAAAATTGAGAGGCAAAATGCCGGTTGTGAGGAGAAGGGTTTAACTGTTCCTTCATGTATGTTTTGTTTTTCTGATAGATAATCCTCTGTTCACCTTTATTATTTCAATGAATCTCAATGGTTTATGACCATTTTAGTGAGAATATTTGTGTTTCCATATTGTTTCGTATTAACACTGTGGATATTGCACAATCTGCTCAAAAGGTACTACTATATTTACAGAGGAAATTCGTCGAGATTTCTGAACGGAGCTGCCTTCAAATAAAATTACATTATTCTGCTGATGTTTAATTCGTTTTTATTCATGAGCAAAATGTGTAACAGACAAACTGATGTTCATAAAAACTAACGTTTTTCTTAATATCGTTGAAGTGAATAAAAATATTTCATTCTATTGTATGTATATCTTATAATTTTATAAAATCATTTTTAAAAAAAAAAACCAAAGAATTTTCAGCTTTATTTTTATGGGGTTGTCTATTGAAATAAGGTAAATTTGACAAGACATAATAGGGGTGGTAAGTATAAAGAATGAAACAGCCAATAGTCCACATAATCCTGCATATCTTTGCTAACATTGTTGTTTATGGCCTCTTTCATTATGGCTATCAATACTTCAAGGACAATTATAATTAACTGTATTTGAACAAAAACAACTTTTTTTGGACTGAACAGACAATGGACATCGCTTACTTTACATTCATTTTAATTATAATGACCAAGGTAATACACTGCAAATCCCTGATGTGCAAATAAGTAAAATAGAATGTGCTGTTAAAATGTGCTTTAATATAAAAATATTTATTCCCCGAATATATACATATATACATATACAAAACACGGCAAGGAATTTAAGGTAGATTTGAAAAAGAACAACTAAAACCTTATCTGGCAAAAGGTTGAACAAAATTCAATGGCTTTGCATGCATATAGAATCAACTTTCAGTTCAAGCTTCCTACTATTAATTTACTGATTGAAAAATATTGAGCAAAGGGTAAATTTTTATGGAATTCAAAATCTCTATTTTTTATTTCAGCACGATTGAAAGAAATATTGAGAGACACATTCAAATTTCATAGTCAAATTTAAAATAATCTCCCTCCCACGTCTTTATAAAAATATTTATATGACTATCCATGCATATTTCATTGACATTTGCGTTCCAATTAGTAAAGCATGTGGTTAAATATATTTGAAAATTTCCCACTAACAGTAGTTGCTCTTTTTTGTAACGTTAATTATTAAATAATTCATAAAAATGTTCATTAATGTTTATGGTATGACATTTAAGAATTATATGTGCTTTAATTATCATTAAGTTGACGAATTCAGATTGTTCCTTTCAACTTTTTATGCCTTTAATGAATCCATTTCTCACTTAAGTTGGACAAAAATATTTTTGAGTGCAACGGAGTTACTTGCTTTTGCAAATGTCTTTGCATTAACCAAGTTAAATAAAAACATTTCTTGTATATTAAACTATTAATCGCAGGAGTGGGACGACTTCAATTACAAATACATTTTGTATTGCAATGATCGTGGCCAATATTGCTTATTATTTATTTAATATTACAAATTTGATTAAGTAGCTTTATAATATGTTAGCACACACGTTAACGAAACATTACTGATTTTATTGTAAAAGGTAAAGGTAAAGGTCTTGTTTATTATAGTGTCACCCCTACTGAAAGGGCCAGCCATTTTGACTTATGAGACACCTTTTGGTTGCATACCATGTACCTCCCAATTCCTACCACTATGCCAGGCGCCAGGCGGATAGAAATCGGTAACCATTCATTTTAACTACCTCGCGGCTCACGAAGCGGCCATTTCGGAACGAGTCCCACGAGAAACATTCATCCTTCAATTAACGCTCCCCGTGGGGCTCGAACCTTCGACCTCCCGATCCGAAGGGAGAATAAGGAGAAAACAAACAACTAAAAAGCATTAGTGTTCAACAAAATCGGTATTTTCTTTTGATTTGCAAACATTATACTAATAGATAGTATACTTATAGATATTGGATTTCGGTGTATACTAAAGAAGAGCTAAATTTCTTTAGACAGAATGGACAATACATTGGCAGTAGTAAATGTGTAACATTTGTTATATTCATTTAAAAATTAGTATACATTTTCGATGAATTTTATCTTCTCATAAGCAAAGATATTAGTAGAAAACATACCTTAATCGGGCAAAGAATGCACGTGTCCTGTATACTAGCGGTCACATAATGTAATCTTATTATCATTACATCATATCTTGCTCACTCATGTGATAGTTCAAGATTAAAAGGTTTATACACTTCTAATAATCATTAAAAAAAATTACGATACTGAACGAATTAACCATTCAATCTATTTACATATTTCAATATATTTACCAATTGGCAACTAAATCATCAACCAGCAATTGACATCATATTGATATCCTAAAGCAGTGTATTTCTTTCTTTTTTATAAGTTCAATTTATAGGCGTCCTTCACAGTTGAATATGTTATTTATTGTTATTTCATTGGTTATCATGTCATATGAAATAATAAGCCTTATTAATAATCTATACACCACCTGATGAACATAATGTACACCTTGAGAAAATCATCTCTCTTTGGAATTCTAAATGAAATACTACAATAAATAATGACTGAAAGGTCAAAGGCACCATAATGAAACTAAATACATGCATTTTGAATTGTATATGAATACTAAAATACACGTCATATTGCAATTGTTTATGTTATTTACTATATTTTACTTTAATGAATTAATTAGCAAAAAACAATATTTATGTTGATTTATTATGAAATGTTTTGCTTTTTTCGTAAAGAAACTATACAAGCACGTTGTTCTAATTGCTTGTGAATTATAAACTGATACTTAGGTAGTTTTGCTTTTGTTTTTTGCAGTATGCTTAACAGATGTAAGATGTAAACCCCATGTGGTAAGTGCAATATAATCAAAATTAAATCATCATAATTGAAATGAACTTTATATGTCACGAGTCATTGATAGTTTATAGTATTTTATAAATAATATACATGCACGTGTACGTAAATAAGAATGAATAAATGTAATCATACTCAGATTTAGTTGAAAATGTTTTGTATTTAATTGAAGTTTTAGATTTATTAAAATAATTTATAATCATAATCGTACACGTAAAAATATTGTACAATTTGAAAACTAATATAGAAAAGTTTAATTTTAAATGTTTTAAATTTAATACAACATGTTTTCAAGATTAATGTTTTCTACTAAATAGTTTGCCAGGAATAAAGGTCATTCCTTATTTGATTAAATAAATTGTGGTTTCATAGGGCACTGCTCACGTGATTGTTTTATTCATGGTTTAATCTTTACAGTAAATAGGAGTTTCTAAAAATGTTTCATTAATATAGCTTCTTGCATTATAGTTTTTGTGATGATGTCATTGCATGTTAGATATGACGCAATATAATATACTGGAATATTTTCTTTCGATGAGTTCTGATACTAAAAACTAACACTGTGGCCATAAGTTTTATACAATAATGACAAATATTTCTCATTGTGATTTAGACAACAATATATTATACATAATCTTATTTTTTTATCGACATATATTTGTAAACGAAATTAATATATCAAATTGCTTCTTTGGATTTCTTATTTCATATCATATTTGAAGTTCCTTGTAATTTGCCTTACGTAGTATATTTGCCCCTCAGCCATCTGCGGCAAAAGATTCTGCCGATTCTAACGTCCGTAGCATATATACTTTGAAACTTTCCCTAAACATGATGAAAGGCTTAGTCCAAATTGAACGACTGACACGTCATCTTCGGCTAATAAGCGCGATAAGGGTTAAACTAAGCTGACATATGGTATGGCGTGAAACAATAACATCGAAAAATAATACAATACGTTTATTTCAAGTAAAGTAGAATTCGGCCTAAAATCATGAAAAAAACAAAATAAAACAAAACAACAATTCAACAATATTCAAAAATAGTGTAACAATAAAATGATAGATACAAATACCCATTTATATTAGTTCGGTAAAGTATTTATGATTTAAAGTCATTAAAAGAAATGTAGCATCTGTAGTTGAATCAGAGACTGTCCAATAATGGCTATAGCTATATTACCAATTAGAATAATTAGAATATAAACAAGGAATTTACTCAAAGGATCTAAAAAGTATCGAGTGTACGCCCGAAAACACCTCTCTACCAAATCCAATAAGTGTGTTGTATTTTTATATTATGTGCGACAATTTCGTGTGACGCACCTTTATTAACATAAATTAATTGAATATGTAAGATAAATAAGGTTTAATGACGCTATGACGTTTATGTCTGGCATCATAATCTAATAAATATAAAAGAAATAAAGTAATTGTCATAATACAACATTTAACAAAACAAGTGATTGCATTTAGTAAATAAATATCAAATCTATGAATAAGTCCAACAAATTGGTCTAGTCTTACTACATCAGTCCGAGCTTTTACAACAGAAACGCTTGTATTTCTGCCTAAGTTTCTTACTCATTCCTGCATACAGTATAGGATTGATGGCGCTGTTGAAATATGCCAGAAAGATGGCCGAAAAATTAATTTCGTTCATTACGTAATCTGGCACCTGTACGAAGACAAATACATTTTTTATACAGATTTAAGTAATAACAGGGTTGATTGAAAATGATATTTAACCAGACGATAGAAAAAAAATTAATAAAAGATATTTAATTAGTTTGTACAATAAATAAATTCTATGCAATAATGTAACAAAGATTATTCAAATCTAAGAAACTAAAATGGAACAGTTTTAAAAAAACATCGAACATTGAAACAAGCTGTGGCTTGGTTTAACTGAGTCTATTCATAGGTGGTAGAAAGGCTTGAAGAACGCCAAACATAGTAAAATTGAACTACTGTTGCATGCTCGGTTTAATTTAGTTTGTTCGTGGATTTAAATACTAGTGGTCATAATAGGTATACTACAGAAATATTGTAACAAATTCCCAAAGAATAAACAGACAAACAAAATCTTTACATACCGGGTAATCTTTGTTGCGATACTCATTATAGAGGAATAATGCTTGTCGCGGTGTCCAACAAGCCACAAATGTCAAAAATAAAATTATCAGTTTCATTGTAACCTACAAAAAGCAAAAAAAAAAGAAAATGGTAAAATATCGCATATAAGGTTGAAAAAGAGAACCATGAAGGCATGCCAGCACGACAAAACTGATAACTTTGCGAGCTTAGTTTGATTTAGCATGTTCATGACGACAGTGAGTATGTGCTTGCAACCACTCACGACAGATCACTTCCAAGGAATCTTGCGTAAACTAAAATTTAGCAATATTTTAACATACTTCATTGCTAGAACAAAACGAAAAGGAACTTAATTATGAATTCGATGCAAAGCTGTCTTACTGATATGAATTTGAAGGACATCCGCTTAAACTGAAAAAGAATAGCACTTCTATATAAATTCAAGGACACCATATATAATGTCAAACTGATATATGTTATTAAGAAAGCCCAACACGGCAAAATTGAAAAGGTTGCTAAAATGGACATTGAAATATATCCTTGTCTTAGAAATGATTTCATTGATTATCACCGTAATTCTTTCACTTACAATTTCAAATTACAATTTCCCGAAAAGACAATTCTCACCAGAAATGATTCCGATATCAAGTGTACTCGCAATTCAAAAGAAAAAATGGTTTTTGAACAAAAGAAGGAAGTCTATCAAACAATTTTTTAGGCAAAGCTAAAATACTCATCACTTATTAATGCACAAAAAATTATATTTTCTTTTAGAATTTCTAGTCTAAATTATATTCTCTCAAATGTCTTTTGAATGAAGGAAATTGTTTTTCTTTAATGTCTATAAATACGGTTAAGATGTCTTAGAAATACCATATAGACCAACCTTTCTCTTTTTCTGATCGTCTTTCGGTGATGATGTAGATTCTCCTGGAGCAACCCTTGTTAGAAGTTTTATCATAATCGCCACGTAAGCAACTGCGATGATGAATACCGGAAGGAAATACATGATTATAGTTAGACAAGTGTAGTAAATAGTCCTTAGTGGCTCAGCAGTGTCGCAACTTTCGCTCGTAAAAATCTGGGGCCAATCACTCCTACACCACACCTCATGACGGTTCGCCCAATATAGCTCCTCTAAGCGTCTTGTAAAAAGATGAGGAAGGCCATTTAGGACGGCAATAATCCAACTAGCAAGTATACCATACTTTATCTTTATTTTCCCTTTACTTTTAAGCGGGAATATGACAACAAGAAACCGTTCGAGAGCTATCGCTGCCATGGTAACAGTGCTTGATGACACGGCCGTCACTTGAAATATACATTAACATGTAAGCATTACTATTTAGGTAATCAAAGCGTCAGGACCATCCTTACTGTCACTGACAATAAAATGTGATTTTATTAGGGCTATGTTATAAATGGTATATACATGACTTTATATATCTATTTTTTGTTGCAATTGGACGATATTTAAATTTTGAATCATGTTTTTAGATAGCAACATTCACAAGGAAAGTTAAATGCTAAGCTATGCGCTTCCTCAATTCATTAACCCTTTTTATCACTGTTTTACTTTTTAATATTTATATTATATATACATGTATAATTAAAACATGTTTATATCACTTAAAAACTGAAAAATACTACAAATTTATTAAAGGCCAGTCGTATTTTCAGATAAACAATATTACAGTAAGAACAAAATGACATAAAATTTTAAAAAAGAAAAATAACAAAAAAAACAATGTTTGTTCTTAGTAAGAAAAATGTTAGCAATTTTGTGTTAATTAGATTTTGTTCAGTCATTGACTTATATTTCAATATAAGGACATGAATAACCAAGAACGATACCCGCACCGTAGCCCAATCATACAAAACAACCTTATATAAATTTGTCAGATCTGAGTCATCTGATGTATTTTAAAACAAACAATATAAGCGTATGTAGCTGTCATATGAAACAAATGACTCGGCTTTGTGTAGAATTTGGTACAAAGATTTATTTTGCTTTCAAAATTGAAATGTATAATGAATTACCTTGTAAGAATTGATTAGCGCTGCAAATAAAGGACCCAAATGGCCATTCCGTTGATATGCTGTTACCGAGATGTATCCACATACAAGTACACGCTACCATCAAGTCACTTGCAGCAAGGTTCGTGATCAGAGCGTTTGTTGGCGTCCGTAGCTTTTTATCTGTCATTATGTTCCAAACAAGACTTGCATTTCCTATGAAAGCCATCAGAAATGAAATAATGTAGGCAATAAGTTTCAATGCTATCTCGTAGTTCGGTATAGGCTCCGGCAATATAGTATCATATTCTGAGACAATATACGGATCGACCTCAATTTTTGGTACCGCCATTCCAGGCACACACTGCGGAAAATAATAGAAATACATTTCATCAGGAGCCGATGACGCATTCAAGCTGTTCCGTTTTGCCGTGTCGTTAATATTTATCATATTTTGCTGTTATAATTATAATAAAGTTGTGATATCAACTAAGGTTGTTCTTTCGTCTTCAGTTGTCGCTTAGCCTCCCGAATGATATCCGTCGCTTTAGTACTTTTATAGTGTATACATCATTTATGTTTGCACGGTGCAAACTCGTATAAATCTATCTTTATTTAACGCCGCACACTTTAAGAGCAATTGATGATTTGATTCAAAACCCGGATTTATATAACATGTAATATAAATCCGTGTTCAAAGTTAACTTCATGTATTTGAAACATTGAAAATGAAAAAGCCTAATTTTTCATGCGATAACTGTTTTAATTATGTTTTGACGAGGCTATATATTATCGCATATCGAATTTGTAAGTTTTGTGGATGATACGAACATATTTTGTGAACGTTACAACCTCCAAACCGATCCTTTTAATCTTATGGTAAAGTCATTTTACTGAACTTATAAGACTGCAGAGTAATGTACGAGTATCGTTATCAAAATAAGATATTTACAGAAATACATTGGTGGCGGTTTGAACGGAACTGTCAAATCGTACGCAAACTTTAACATCCTGACGTCTACAAGTCATTTGTGGACAAACAAATTAACAAAAAACCTATTATATGAATTCTTTCTAGGAGCACAAAATAAAGGGTTAACGTAATATTTGATTTTTTCACATTCACATGAAGAGTTCAATTATTTGCAGGCTTTCTCAGCATTGCGTATCATTATTAAAACCAATTGTAGAAAAGTATATTCATAATTAAATTGGACAAAGGGTGTTTGTTTCGAATAGAAAAATAAATTATTCAGTCATATCTAACAAAACCTCATTGTTATAAATTATTTTACATTGTATAGTTTTTGTCAACAAATCACAACCTCAGAATAATTTATTATCTTTATTAAGAATAACAGAAACTAATTAGTCTTAGAGCCTTATTTGAGCAAATTAATTATTTGTGGAACTGTTTTAATTTTATAATGGCTGTGTCGTGACTTATTTTAACATAATAAAATACAAAACGCATCATTGTTAAAGATTTTATTCGATCTAAAACATGTTTTATTTGGACAAAAAATATTTTTTGAAAATATACCTGTGTCTTTGGATTTTATTTATTGCATTGTTTATTTATTTATTTATCTATTTTTATTTATTAATTTATTTACTTTAACATGAACATGCATTTGTTCGACTGTAACAGATCCTGATTTTAGTGAAACAATAAATCACCCTTATACTGAGGGGTTACCTTTAACGGTTGAGGCATCAGCATTGCAGTCAACGTTTAAATATGCGTAATCGTAAGAGGCGAGTAAATGTATGCGAATAACAGGAGTATAAGCATCTCTTAGCTCCAACAGATGATTTTGAAGCCTAGTGTCGCTTAAAATTTGTTAGACCTGAGGTAAGTCAAAATCAAATTTCCTCTTATGGCGACATATGACCTAAACTGTGTTGGTATGCCGTTAAATCAATAAAACAAAATGAAACAATGAATTGTGAAAATTGTAGAATATATAGTTATATTACTTAGTTCAATTGACTATGTCAGTTCCAGTTATTTCCAGAACATGTAGATAAAACTTTTCCGCTGACCATTGATGACAACATGGCATTTTGAGCAGAATTATTACACATAAAAAATATCCAACATCCTTATACCTTACCTCTGCATGAACATATTTTCAGAACAATCAAACGAAAGAGAACAAATGTAAATAGTTTTATGAATATATGAATATTCAGAAGCCACGTGGAACTTTGCATATTACATGACAAGAATGGAAGAGTAATAATATTTATCATATGTTGCGATCCGGATCGGAATATCCGTCCCGAGAGTATCCTCCCCTTCGGCGGGACCAAGGCTTGCCAAGTTGCCGTCCATAACCGGATACCCGAGTTACAGATATTCCGATCTGAACCGCAAACACAGGTCAGATTTGTTCGTGCATTTGTTACCGTATTATCATATTGTAAATGCTTGACCTAAATAAAACGAGTTTAAATGTAAAACTGATGTTATTTCATTTATAACTATTTCCTTATAATAGTTTAGTTCATTCATAACGGCAAAATCACGTCATCTTACGTTTTCAGCGTAATTCTTTTAACGGTGTCATTTTAACGCGTTTCAATAATAATGACGTCATTGTATAGCACGCGACTTATCTGGCATCCTCTCTAATGCCAGATAAAATTTCTGGCATGGGTAAAATTAACGGAAACATCGGTCTGATATGCAAGAAAACCATGTGTACTACCTTAATTCCCATTATCAGTTAACCCTATAACTAACGTAGTTAGGGCGAATTTTAAACAAAACAACAGCTTGAAGTATTTATATAATGAATGAAATTTCGAAAATAAAAACAAAATCATTAGACATCAAAACACACGTGCTCGCGCATACACTTAAGCACATATACAATTTACCCAAACGCACTTAAATATTGACGTTATTATAAAATGGGTTTTTTGCAGTATTTCAATTAAGATAATTACAAGATTTTAGTTATGCTATATATTTTCCTATTCTCCTTAGATATTAGTGTATATCAGTTGCAGAAATATTCGATTTCTATGAGTTTCCTTTTTTATCCTGTAACTTCTTAAGAAGCAGACTGTTAATATGACCCTTAAGCACTGAACATACAATTATTTATGGTCATGTCTGAAGATGTCTGGATCATTGATTCCAGCACTTTTAAGTGTTGAAAATAAAGTTTCGCTTAAACCGGTGCTGCAAGGGATAGTGTACTTTTTCATTATCTCTACATAATCAATTTAACCGAGACTGCAATTTTCATGTTTTTTGTTGTGATAAATGCTTCCGAGGGATACCTTTTTCCCCAGAATGAATTTTAATATTAATAATGACCGTTTGTTTTTGGAAACAAGCAGGGTGTTATATCATCTTTACTTCAAGTTAATGTTCCGGTATCATTTTTACGTCAAATTAATTTTCCGGGATCATCTTTATGTCAAATTAATGTTCCGGGATCATCTTTACGTCAAATAAATGTTCCGTGATCATCATTACTTCAAATTAATGTTCTGTGTACCTTTTTATCCTGTAACTTCTTAAGAAGCAGACTGTTAATATGGCCCTTAAGCACTGAACCTACAGTTATTTATGGTCATGTCTGAAGATGTCTGGATCATTGATTCCAGCACTTTTAAGTGTTGAAAATAAAGTTTCGCTTAAACCGGTGCTGCAAGGGATAGTGTACTTTTTCATTATCTCTACATAATCAGTTTAACCGAGACTGCATTTTTCATGTTTTTTTGTTGTGATAAATGCTTCCGAGGGATACCTTTTTCCCCAGAATGAATTTTAATATTAATAATGACCGTTTGTTTTTGGAAACAAGCAGGGTGTTATATCATCTTTACTTCAAGTTAATGTTCCGGTATCATTTTTACGTCAAATTAATTTTCCGGGATCATCTTTATGTCAAATTAATGTTCCGGGATCATCTTTACGTCAAATAAATGTTCCGTGATCATCATTACTTCAAATTAATGTTCTGTGTACCTTTATCATTTAAAAGAACGAGTTTTCAACTCTTACCTATCACGTTCATTTAAATTGGTGATATTGCTTTATGTAATGAGAATCTCGAATCCTTTATAGCATAATCTATGATGCTACTTAAGTCTTTTTTACAAATTGTATATATTGTACGTGAGCCGCACATACGATTTTACTGCGAACATGATTTGAGGTTACCGTATCACTGTAACAGTTTTAAATTTCATAATTCTATATCAAACCAAACGAGAATGTTCTCAGCTTTCGAAAATTTTACAATGAGCTCTATTCTAGCTGACAAAAAAAACAAGATATACAATATATTCTAGTTGTCAAAATGGTTGTGAAATCCGAATTAATGTAGAAATTGAGGCGACATCGTTACTTAACTGTTATATTCTGACTAAGCAGAACTGTATATGTAATAAGTTAATCAAGTAAGCGTGTGAGTAACAAAGAGACAGAAACACTAAAGCGTTTTCCAAACAGATATTTGATACAGTAAATAACACGACTAACCTAGATATTTCACCGATTGCTAAAATAAATCAAATTATTATCTTATCACCTTATGGGGGCAAAATAGAGAGCAATAGAACCCTCCTAAAGAACGCACAAAACGACAGAATTGAAAATGTTGCAGACTTGGTTTGATTGAGCCAGTTTGTGGGCGGTAATGTAAAGTGGAAGTTACCGCCCACAACCCAAGCAACGGCTTTAGCAGAATTTGATTGAGCCCGTTCATGGGCGTAAATGGAACGAGAAAGTTACCACCCCCTAGCAACGGCTTAATGAATATTTGATCGAGCCTATTAATGGGCGGTAATGAAAACTGCAAAGACGTCAATGAGAAAAATGAATTAATCAGTATGATTATCAGAGAAATACTTTATCGCTTTAAGACCAATGAGAAGTCTAGAGCATAAAGACAAATGTCCAAAACGTCACTTAGTTAACTAATCAACTTTAAATAGTAATGTTTTATGTGATACCATTCGTAAACAATATTGTGTAATCATTCTTAATAAACTTAAAGTGACTGAACTGAGGTTTTTGGAAATGACTTGGATGAAAATACGTGTTGCAAGAAATTGCCAAGAATTGTGCTTCATTTGAAGAGGGTCTGAATTATAAGCTTTTGTGCAAAATTTTAGATCATTGGCTCAATAATTAGTATTGCGCAAAATAATCCAAAATTAAAAATGTTTAAACGCTTTTAACTCAAATTCGGCTGCGAATTGCTAAAAAAGTGATTATCAACCTAACAATTTAATTCAGATTATATCACGTCAATGTTTTTTGTACATGTTTCCATTTAAAGTGCATTAGTTGATATATGAGGGTTTTTGTGCTTCTGCTTTGGACCATAGTTGATTTACGCCCATCCCCTTAGCAACTAATTGCATACACTACCCGTTACATCTTGAACATTCGACCGATGCGAAGGAGGGTTCTTTAAATTCATC